CTACACTACTGCGTGGCAAAGATCGGAAATGCACTCGCCGAGTGATTCACGCGCGTTACAGCAACTGGTGCATGTTCACAATATGATCTCCATATCGTGATGTGACTCGTGTATCATCATCGTCCTGAGTAAGAGGAGTAAGGTTGCCACATTTCTATTGATATCGCTGCGGCTCATTTATATGATATTGATGAAGATAGTTGTTATGATTTCGAATACTGTTTCGTGAACATCTGTATTTATGAGCTGCGACTAGCTATGTTAGGTCGTGATGACATTATGATGATTCAGTTCTCATTGAATCCATCATGACCATTGGTGCTTCTGATAAGATGGCTGCATTCAAGAATGCTATGGAAAGCAAGAACGCTACCAGGGCTGACAAGTAGGTCTCAGTAGCTTACTCATACGATTACTCCTCGAGATTCATCGCTCTGAACCACGCTCACTCCGCTGTGGTTGCCAAGATGGAGAGTCTTCAAACCGATGAGGAACGGAAGGCTGTGGAAGACGCTTTTGTGCAGGAGCAAAATAGATGTCTAAGACTGCAGAGGAAGAGATGTGAGCCGTAGATGTTCTTATATATGATGATGGCTGTGGTTCGATAGGCACAACCGACGATTTTGAGGTCATTAGGACGATTGGTCAGGGAGCATTTGGTGTGGTGAGGGTAGTCAGGCATAAGGAAGATAAAGAGATGTGAGTGGCTGAGGAGACCATAGGTGTGAAACTCTCACATGTAAGATATGCATTGAAACAGATGCCAAAGAAATGCATGAAAAAGAAGAATCAAAGGGATCGTGTAGCATCCGCGTTGGACCATCTGATCGGCTGAGGAGTTGGGTGTTGTGTGGTTTAGGTTGTGGCAGAAAAGAGCCTCTTATCTCGAATGGGAGATACATGGGTTAGTGCACTCTATCAGACCTTTCAAGATGAGGACAATCTGTGAGATATTCGCTTACAGATCTTATCAGTCACCAATTCTATCAGCTGATGGAATTGGTGACGAATCGAACGGTATATACCATAAACCAGAGAAAAATTGGACAGTTTGTACTCCCCAAATGCTACCCGTATCAGGTACATGGTCATGGAGTTCCTTCCTGGTGGAGATATGATGTCACATCTCATCCGTTTGGACATCTTCAGCGACTATCAAACTAAGTTCTACATAGCAGAACTCATAGAGGCTGTTCATTCAGTCCATAAGCTGGGGTTAGCAACGAGCTCCGGCATCATCATCA